CATATTTAGATACACATAATTAGATGTATATGCTTACTATGTATTCGAGATACATGTTTTTGGATATAACATATGCAATTGATACTTGATACATCAAATTAATACTAGATACCTATAAAAGATAGGGAAAAGGGTCAAAAATACCCCTCAACTTTGATTTATTAGTTGACTATACCCTTGCCGTTAAAATAAAGTTATTTATACCCTCGCCGTCACTAATTTCATCATTTATACCCCTCAATTGACGGAAATCCCCAAATTGATTCAAATTAACCCAAATTTTAAAAAAAAACCATTCCCCATTTTAAACTCAATGCCCGACCCGTCTAAAAACCTAACCCAATAAACATTTAACCCATTTTCCTTACCCATTCTTTTAAAAGATCTCAAACCCCACAAGTCGCCGGCGCCGTCTTTGCTCCGCCGCATAGTCGATTTTGATATCGCCATCTCCCTCCGTCTTTACACTCTAACTCACCCTATTCTCCCTTACTATTTCCTCAAAACCCTAGAGATCTCCGGCGATGGTTTCCTCTTCTTGCCTTTAGTCCTCTCACTACTCCTCTACCGTCTCGCTTTCTCCGATAGCAAAAATTCCAACATCTTCTTAATCAATTTACTCCTCGGTGGCATCCTTGACCTTATCGTAATCGGACCCCTAAAACACCTTATTCGGAGGCCCCGCCCGTTTACAACAAAACATATTTCTCTCCTTTGCCGTCGACCACTGGTCCTTTCCCAGTGGACATTTATCCAGAGTTTCCATGATTGCTACTCTCTTTTATATATCATCCGATTTCATTCAGGATGTTTTGATTCAGCTTCAATATGATTTAATTGTGGATTATTTTATGCTTATTGTGATCGGATGGGCTGCAACCACGTCGTGTTCCAGGGTACTTCTTGGACGGCATTTCGTATTTGATGTTATTGCTGGTGTACTGGTGGGTATTCTCGAAGGATTGTTTGTGTTTCAGATTTTCAATTATGTGACACTGACCTCATTCATCATATGACAAAGTTGTAAGCTTTATTCCTTATTGGTTGTGATTGTTGATGTAGAATCGGGTCAGATCGGGTTAGAATTGGGTAATTTAAGTAAAATTGGTTAATTTGAGTCAATTTGGGGATTTTCGTCAATTGAGGGGTATAAATGGTGAAATTGATAACGGCAAGGGCATAAATAATTTTGTTAACGACAGGGGTATAGTCAACTAATAAACCAAAGTTGAGGGGTATTTTTGAGTTTTGACCCTTTTCCCTAAAAGATACATGAAATTAATATTATATAT